TTGGAAGGAGTAATTTAAATTAATAGGAACACAGCTGCAGTTCAGTATTGATTATCATCCACATACAAATGGTCAGACAAAAAGGTTGAATCAGTGCTTGGAAATGTTTTTGAGGTGTATGACATTTAGACAACCCAAGTAGCGGATAAAATGGCTCTATCTCGCAGAATGGTGGTATACAGAATGGTGGTATAACACCACTTTCCATTCAGCAATCAAGATGACACCATCTCAAGCCCTCTATGGAATCCAGCCCCCACAACTAGCACTTGCCCTTACCAACAAACTAATGTAGCAGCTGTAGAAGAACTGTTGCATGAAAGACATAAGATGGATCACATCCTTAAGGAGAATTTGTCTCAAGCTAGAGCCAGAATGAAACTATATGCAGATAGGAATCAGACTGAGGGGGAGTTCAATGAAGGAGATTGGGTATTTCTCAAATTGTATCCTTATAAGCAACAATCAGTGGCATCTAGAAGCATCCATAAGCTATCTGCTAAGTATTATGGCCGTTTTCAGATACAAAAAAGGGTGGGAAAGGTAGCTTATCTTCTTGATCTACCTACAGACTCTCTTGCGCACCCAGTATTCCATGTATCACTACTCAAAAAGAAATTACAAGATGGGGTTGGGATCTGTGCAGTAGTTGCCTGACCTAAAACAAGAAGAAGGGCCTGAGAGGATGCTGACTTTATACAGGCAAAGTACCCAAATCTTAAACCTGGAGCACAAGGTTTAGATAAGCAGGGGGGTTGTTAGGAAAAAAGGATGACAGTTGAATGGAATTGGGGTCTAAAAAGAAGGAGAAGCTAAATTTCAAATAGGGAATAATGGAAAGGGCCAGCATTCTAATGGGCCACTTCTGTTCGGCCCAGTAAAGGAAAACAGGAAAAGAGGAAAGGATTTGGCATCAATAGATAGATGAGAGAGAATAAATCTATATCTACACATCAGATAGAGAGAAGAATCGCGTTTTCGGAATTGTGATCTTCTTGTCATGCAGTCTCTCTGAATTAACTCTCCTCCATTTTTCTTCTCCTGATCTTCTTTCTTTTTCTTTATCTTTCCATCAATTTCTTGTAATTTCTTTCAGCATCAGTTGTAATTTCAATTTGAATATCATCTTGAACTTCTCAGTTGCTGGATTTTATTGAATTTTGAGTCATTAGGCTTCAATCATTACAATCATCAGTTACACAAGCAAATTTCATGTCATGAGTTATCTCGGAAACTTCCAATAAAGATTTACTTACATGGTGAAAGAGCTAGATAAAGGTAAAATGTAGCATTTTTCTTGTCACGCTCTATAAGACACTGACATGGGGACTCCCGAGGCCTGGCTGCAGCATAAAAAGAAAGTTAGAGCATCAGCCAACATAATTTCTGAAGTTCCCAGTTCAACTCAGATAAGGTTTTAAAGATACCATGCATTTTTGATGTAAATGAAACACTTGGAACATAAATAACATAGAAAACTGAAAAAAATCAATAACCACCAAATCTTTTTGCCCAAATCGCATCTCCAGATGCTTTCGTTTAAACAACTACTGCAGAATATTCCAGCGATTTTCACTACTGAATAGTTCGACGTGAACGCTATTGGCATGTACAAGCCTATGCATCATTTCATTCCAAGAAACTTAGCTCGAGTTTAAACAAATTATACAAAATAGAATCACCAATTAAATGCAAATTAACTAAAGTTGGTTCAATTAGAAAATGATTAACAGGTTAGAGCTATTTCTCAAAAGCCATTGGCAACATGTAAATTTCCATTCATAAACAGCCATTTCAAATTCAAAAGGAGATATTTCTATTCCAATTCGGATGCCCTAATGCTATACATCTATTAAATGAACAATAATTCCCAAACCAGACTCAGATCACTAATATCAAAATCCACGAAATTCCCAAACTACTAATTTGAAACAGAAGTACTTCAGAATAGACCACATTTTCAACCTTTTTGAGGCAAGAAGGGAAAGTTATTTTTGCAGCCTGTGGATGAACGGACGCCTTATCGACCACGTCTTTTGTGGCCTTCCTCCACTGCTTGCAAACGCAGCCGCATGCAACAACGTTTTGGCGCTGTGGCCATTGCTCCTCGCTCACCTCCACTCTCTGTATTATCTCCCCCAGCAGCTCCGGCAACATACCTGCCCACATACCCGAATTATCCAAACCCGATTTACCCACGACGCCGTTTTGCTGTTCTTCTTTATTAGAATCATTTTCCTTTTCGGCGGTTTCTATTTCTTCTTTGCTATTGTAATTAAAACTAATCTGGGTATCTGGGGATTTGAATTCTTTAAAGGATTTGGACAGTGTGAAGGAAAGATGGGAGATTTTTGTGGAGAGAACAGAACGTCGCAGGGACATCTCGTTTTCTAAAGAGAGAAACGCGAGGGATCTGCAGAGAGATAGAGAGTGGAGTAAGAAAAATGAAAGAGATTTTCTCGAATCAATAGGAGATACAGTTACGGTCGAACAAGCAAGATGACGGGGGAAGTTATGTATTGACTGTTATTTGAGATTTCCGCTGGAAATTGGGCTTCTTCTCTGACTTGTTTACTCAACTCCAACAACAACTCGGCCAGCCGTTCGTCATGACTTCGAATTGGAAGCGCTCTTCAGAAGATTCTATAAAGCCGGCATGATATCAAGACAATTGTGCTGCTTGTATGACACATCGGAATACACTTTCCTCGTATAAGGGGATCATGCTTTTTTTATTTATTGGGTGTGAGCCCTTTATCATGTGAGGGACATGCAACGTCCGTGTACAAATAACAAAATTCATATCAAATTGGAGGTGTTAAACTAAAGTCAGCTATTCGTTTACACTTGCACAGTCGCACCTAATTTAGGTAAGTTGTAAATTTAAATAGGTCCATGTAAAAAATGGTCAGATTTAGTCCGAATGGTTGCAACTTGCAAACACGATCAATTTGGTGCTGCTAATCAGAGTGCATTCATGCCTGGTAGGCTTTTTACTATAATGTAATTGAAAGAGTTGTTACATTCAATGGACAGTATTGGAGCGATTCAGATTTCTAAGACATTAGGTTGAGCTTACTTCTGATGGTATGTTCACTGCTTGGTTTGCTTTCTTCAATTCAACGGCTTTGAATGAAGCTCCCTACACAAAATTAGAACAATCAACATACAAGTTCCTACTGTTATTTTCTTGTTTTTCTCTAACAATTTTTCCAATTCCACTTACGTCCACGTAGATGTTTTCCTACGCACTTGGACGTTATCACAGAGAATAAGAGGCAAGGTTGTATTCCTATCTCTAATGATGCTAAAATGTCAAAAACTAAGAAAGCATTAGGAGCCAAATAATTATCCAAAATTCGAATGCATCATTTTCAGCTTGTTGTACTCGAAGTCCAGAACGGACGGCCATTGCCGGCACAAATCCTCAATTTCATCATTTATATATAAATATTTACATACAATAAAATGCTATGTTGAAGTTTTATTTCCAATTTTGTTCTGTATTGGCAGGTTGGAGGAAGAGTGTGCTGGCTTGTGCAGAGAGGGAATTAAGTTATATACAGCCTGTTTGAGAGTGATTTTTTGGCCCAAAAAATTAATTTTTTAACCGTTACTTCATCATTCCAGTCGTTATATTTGACTTTTTCTCTCACAAGTGGACCTAACTTTTTTTCTAACGGTCAAAAAATCAATTCTCAAAATCACTCCCAAACAGGCTCATAATGTTTTTATATATATACAATTCTTGTGATACTAAAACTACAATTTGTTATATTTACTCAATTCACAATTGAAATTTATTTCTTTCAATCACTTCTCTTTCCATTGGGATGTTCTCCAATGTTTGGAAGAACCTAAGTGATCAAATTTTGTAAGGAACTTTGTAAAGACTGAAAACAAAATGGAGAATTTGTTATTTTAAAGAAAAATTGCATTAGTTTGTATTAAAATAAGGTGGTGTCCTTTTACACAGATTAAGCTTCTTGCCAAAATGGTTTAACCACAATTTGATATACTTGTTGCCTCTATAATTTAGGAAGGTTTATTGTCAATTTGCTTTTGGAATTTTGGTGAATGAGCCAGCATCCTTTGCTATTCAAGGATTTGCAATGGCCCCCTTGTCGGGGTAAAACTTGAGAAGAGTAATTTTTGTCACGGAACTATATCTTAGCCTCTCGTTACTTACACAGAAGGAGATCCATATAATTTGATCATTTCTCATGCGGTAACATTAAGAGCCTGTTTGGGAGTGATTTTGAGAATTGATTTTTTGACCATTAAGAGAAAAGTGGGGTCCACCCGTGAAAGAAGAAGTCAAATATGACGGCTATAATAGTGAAATAACGGTCAAAAAAATCAACTTTTTGAGAGAAAAAATCGCTCCCAAACAAACCCTAATTATGTGCATACAATTAAAGCCTTTCGGTGCAAACTTCGGATCAGACTAATATGACATTATAGGATATACAGTTTGGTATTTAGGGTGCATGCAACCGATGGGACGGTTAGGACTTCGGCAACCACTGCTTCTTTGGCTTTGAATTTGGTGGCGGAATGCGTTATCACCGAGGCTTCGTGGTGGCTGAAACAGACAAATTGGCCTCAAAATGGCGTTGGACATTGATTTGGTTGAATGAGATGAACAACTCCTTTCTTTATGATTACAACGATACTATACTGACAGGAAGGCTTTTGAAGCCTCCTTGACCAAGCTCACTTTTTTTGTATTTTTTATTCACAGGAGTTCCACGCACGTGAGAGGCTGTCATGACTTTTGTCACCCATTTTCGATCACTTTAGCTTATTCTTGTGATTAAGAGTGGCTCTTGTCACTAGGTTGAATCTTGTCCTTTGTTAATTTCTTCGTCGACGATTTATGTTAAATTAAATAAAAAACCAAAAAATAAAAAAATCTTACATCAAGTGAGAAAGGGGTGAAGACATATATCTAATCTCATGTACATGAACAGCTCGTGTGTCAACGAATCATGAATCAGTTGAATTTAAATCAAAGAAATAATATTTTATTGAGACGAAAATTATACAAGTGACAGTTGGACACTTTCAACTCACACTTATTTTATTTAATTATACTAGAACCACCTTAGCATATATCTCTATATAAAAATAAATAAACTGTCTGTCTCTCAATTCTTACACAAAATGTCGAAGCTGAACACATATATATAGTGGAAAAAGTCGGTGACTACAAGTCAAGATTTTTCCATTGCGCGTTAGTGATGAAAGTCGGTTGAAGCTCCTTTGTAGTAAGGCGGAGGGCAACTTTTTATGCCAAGTGGGTGGTGATCCATGCACATATACTCGAGTGGCTGCTGATTAAACTTGTCTCTGTTACTTTCATAGAGACATTATCAATTACATTCTTCAAAATCCTAATAGAAAAAATACATTATTGCAANATTAAACTTGTCTCTGTTACTTTCATAGAGACATTATCAATTACATTCTTCAAAATCCTAATAGAAAAAATACATTATTGCAACATTGATGGAGCCTTTATTTAAGCACAAATTGGTGGATTCTGTTTGCCGACTAAAGTAGGCTTGATGTTGGCACATTTAGTGGTGAGAGGCCCTTCGGTTCCGCTGCATGCAAGATCGATATCTCCGATCTCCACATTTTCACAAGGTTTGGCTTCGCTGCAAGCAAACGTCATTGCCACCGGAGTTTTTGAGGTGCCCCTAATGTTTTTTACAGTCATTTGACTGACTTGAATGAGAGATGGAGACTGTAAATAAACACAAAAAAGAATTCAGTTAATCATAGCTGAAACCTATAATTATTTGCTGGAGTTTGAATTTAACTTACGTCTAGCTTGCACTGGTTATACGGACAATATGCCTGATCAATGATAATAGGATTCTCAACATTGTCCATAATAATATCTTCGTAATGCAGATCTGTTATCTTGAGTTCTGCTGGGGCAGAAGGCCATGTTTTCACTCTAATACCATTTTGGGTGCCAATGAATGTGCAATTCTTGACATAAATGCCGGTTACATCTTCTTCGGTAGCGCCTCTACCAAGACTTCCAACGCTAATGCCGTGGCCTGGCCCGCAAGTTATCTTTTCGATATGGAGTTCTTTCATGCCATCACCAATGGAGATGCAATCATCTCCTGTTTTGATGACGCAATCAGTGACGTTAATCCCTTCTGACCTTGAGATGTGAAGTCCGTCTGTATTAACACTATCACCCGGCGCACTCACGGTGAACTGTTGGAACGTAACATTCTTACACCCTAACACATTGACGTGAAAATTTTTGCTATCTTGAGTCGTCACGTCACGAATGATTGAGTTGGTGATGAAATTGAAGCTGAGATTCTGTATACATGAAATTGATTGATTGCTCAATTAATTCAATTAAGAAAACTTAATTCTGTATACACACACACACACACTTACTGTTGGAAGTTTAACACAATCTGGATTTGTGCCACAATCATTTTTGGCCCATGCTTCTTTACCATTGCCATCAAAAACTCCACCACCTTGTACGGTCAAGTGGTCGACGTAATGTATAGTGATCCATGCAGCGTCCTTGTCGGGCAAATCATTATAATCTGAAGGGGCTTGAATCGTGCCCTGGACTTGAAGCTCAATGGGGGCTTTGCATGGGCCTGCTAATTTTACTTGATCTAACATGAAAGTGCCTTTTGGCACCACAACTGTGCTCGGAGTTGTAGCTGCACATGCCTCCTTCCAAGCGCACGATAAAGCCTATAATATATTTTTTAGAAAATTGTGTGAAAAAGATTACTTGAAATATTCTTCTGTCATACGTTAAATGCATACCTCGGCTATATTTGCATCAGGTTTCCCACCATAATTTCCGATATCAAAAGTCGCTGGCTCTTGGGCATTTACAATGTATGCTAGCAGTGGGAGAAACAACAAGGTGAATTTCGAAGCCATCTTCATCTCTTTATTTTTATTTTTTTTTATTTTTATTTTTTTCGTTTTTTTTCCCTGTGTTTGTATATTTTTAGATCATTGTGAATCCAATTTATAATGTAAGGAGAATATTGAGTGCTACAAAATTCTCGGACTTTACTTCCAATATTGTGGTTGAAAATGCTTTCACTAACAAACTACCAACTTAATCGGTTTTAACATTGAATTATTCAAACGGTTTCTGTTACATAAATTGACGAAATGTGACACTCATCTTGATGTTTTTCCTATTATTTTGTCTATATACTATTATTTGAGTGAATAAGAATTAGTCAATAAATATCATGCAATCTAAGAACAGGATCGGTCCTAGGCCAAAGTGGTGGTCCCGAACGAATTTGTCAAACGTTTGCAGAAATTAAAGATTCAACACAGAGGGATTTTCACCCATTCAAAGGGTTCGGATGTTCACGTGCTCTAAACGTTACTCACCCATTGAGTATCTACAAGTAGATATAGTTCAAATCCACTAAAATCAACTAAAAACGGTGCAGTACAAATGTATGAAGAAATCCCTAATTTCTTCAATGTTTCACTCTCATATCACAGGCAAAGTTCACCACAGTGAACCATAATCAATCTCACAGATTGTACATTAAGTATATCAAAGAATTCATTCAAGATTTTACAAAGATTGAAGAACGGACATAGAGAAAACGAAGAGCCGGAGAAAACCCTAATACAATACACTCATTCATATGAAACGAGGCTAAGGGAGCCTTTTATATGACACCCCAAAAAGTTATATCCAACGTCCACAAATGCACCAATATAAGACCAAAAGCATATTTCCAAGAATGCGTTTATAAGTCATAAGGCCAAACCCGGATTACACAAATAGGCCCAAGTAAAAAATTAGTAAGGCAGCTTTATAACCAACACAAAGGCAACTAAGCAATGGCCTAGAGCCACAAAATTAAAAGGGCCTAAAAAAGGAAAAAAA